AGTATGAAAATTCCATTTTGGTCCACATCTAGTATGTATAGATGACCCTCAATAATACAAGTGCATCTACTGGCTAGATCCTTGGCACTGGAAATAGATACAAACTGCTTGATAATGTGTATACCCTGATCCTTGGTTTTACGCAGTTTGAGTAAAACCAAGGATTGGCCAAATAAGTTAAACAGCATTTTATTGGCTATGCTGTTTAAGGCAGTATGCGAGAAAGTAATGTCGTTAAGTGTTCCTGGTGACAAGTTCTATTATTTGTAAACGCTTGGAACTTATAGTTTTACCAGATCTGCATTAAATAGTAACCCAGAGTACCCAAAACTCAAGTTGGTTTTGAATGAACGTTAGAAGATTTGGTCATTCAGTTGAATTTGATCATCAAAGTCCTGTTGAAGCAATCTCCTTCCAGGATCCCAGGCACAGCTGTGACAAGTTTTGTCGGGAAATAGCGTTACCATTCCTTTGTTAGGTATTTGTTTCATAGGGGTGTGAAATATATGCTTCCCCAAAGTCCTGAAGAGTTTTAGCAAGCCATCCAGGGTAATAAGTTTCAGGCATACTTTAAAGTATGGATTTCTCTGTAATGTCACCGTGTTTCAATAATCAAACCTTTCATATGAGAAACTTGTTAGTTGAAAAGGGTAGTTTTAAAACTGTATTAACATTAGTACCAGTAATGGTTTGTCTGTTTTAAAGCACAAATCTCACAAAACTAGGATATTTTAATTCTCAAATTTCACAACAAAACTCTAAAGTCAGGTTTCAGTCAGTTTCTCACAGATCATAAGCACCTGGTGTTTACTTGTTTGGAGTTTAGAGGCCTGCCGTGCTCCCAAGATTCTGCTCCCCATAAAAACACAGGCACAGGCTCATTTTAGGACCTTGATTTAAAGGAAACCTAAGCTGGGCACAGGCTCATTTTAGACCTTGGTTCAAAGCCTTGGTTCTCAATTGGTGTGTCGTGACCCAAAAGTGGGTAGCGGCCCCATGTTCAGTGGGTCGCCGCATGCCTTCCACTTTTCTAGGTGAGAGGCTCTGTCGCCTCCCCCTAGAGCTGCACTGTCAGTTCTGGTGCCAAGCAGCCATTCAAAATATGCTGCCCCGCACCGAGTGTCAGCTTGAGGAGGGATGGGATGGGGCTATGGCTGTGAGGGAGCTCCATCCATATGTGCATTGCTTACAGCTCCCCCACGTGTCCTGTAGGGGTGCCTGGGCCGGAGTGACGTCACATTCTGGCTCCTGGCATCTCTACAGGGCGCGCAAGGGAGCTGTACAAGCAATGCACATATGGATGGAGCTCCGTCACAGCACAGCAGCCCACAGTGGACCCCGGGCTAAAGATCCACAACAGTTCTCATAAGGTAGGGAGACTGGGTGGACCTTTAAAAATAGCAAAATTTTTTGTAGTGTGTGTGAGTGTCTGAGTGAGAGTGTCTGAGTGTGTATGTATGTCAGTGTTTTTGAGGGTCTGTTCACACTAGTACAGTGTGTTTAAACTGTACCAGGCAATCTTACCTACCATGCATTAAGGTACCGCACGCTCCATCGCAGTGCGACTTGGGTTGCGGCTTAATGACCAAGGACAAATGTGGGTCCTGAGGTTACCCAGGTTGAGAACCACTGGTTTAAAGGAAACCTAAGCTGAGCACAGGCTCATTTTAGGACCTTGGTTTAAAGGAAACCTAAGCTGGGCACAGGCTCATTTTAGGACCTTGGTTTAAAGGAAACCTGAGCTGAGAACAATGGGTTTACTTCTACTAGTAGCAGCTGCCTGGCTGTTATATTAATCTGACTTCAATCTTTTTGGTTACCGATTTAATTGACTGCATACTTTTTTAACTCCGAGTTTTTAGACCTAGTGTTTGCAACTAATCCGTCACTCCTCAGGTTTCCATAAAATGTTAGTTTGTGTTCAGTTTGAGCAAAATAAAAAAAAAGTGAACTGCCACACAGGTTAATAAAATTCTCACATTTTATATTCATTTTTGTTCACAGGAGCACAGATTCTAGACTGCAAGGTCTTTTGTTATATCACCACTTTGTCGCATTGAAGGACCTTGTACCCTCCACTGTCCAAGAAGAATTTTTACAGTATTGTGACCATCTTCCCTCAAAAGATCTCTCTGCATATCATTACATCCAGGATATTCTGGGAGACTGGTCCAGCCAGGATAAGTTGCCTGGGGACATTATTAAACTCTTGTTGACATGCTTGCAGCAGTTTTATGCCGATGTTGATGATTCCGTTCGAGCTGCTGAGGCAGCCCATCGAGGATCCCTGTGGATTAACTTGGGCTTACTGCAGTTTCACCTGTGGCTACCACAAACTACATTTGACCCAGCAATTAAGAGGAAATACAAATTGCAATATGCTGAAGAAGAGGTGAGTAGGATGACTTAAATTTATTGTCTGGGCAAAATAAACATATGCACTACTTCTCTGTAATGCACATTTCGCCATGTTTTATCCCTTTCAAATTTTGCAAGCATAAAAAAAACCAAAACCTATTCGGAAATTTAGTGTGCTCTTAACTTCCTGTTCAAGCTGACAAACTGCCTTTGCTGCTTTGAAATCCCAACAGAATTATTAGCCCTTCCCAGTTCTCTTTTTTGCTGAAATACCTCCTGCTCTCCTCATCTCTGTAAGTTAAGGTGTAGTGTAGACAGGCATGGCTGATTACACTACATGGGATTTTCAGTGCTGTTGTGGCACTGTTTTCAGCTTAAAAAAATAATTTAGGAGCTTACTGGCTATTTAGCAGGATCAGCAGTTATTCATCTGCACTTGCCCTGTTTTAAAAGAAAACTTGAGGCAAAACCTAAATAAAAGCCTCTATTGTTGGTATGTGCTGAATATTTGTTTCTTTTTCTTTTTGTTTTTTTTGTTTGTTTTTTTCGTAACTTCAAATAAAATGAATTGAACTATATGTAAGCATTCACTAGCAGGTACAATCAATGACCTAAATAGTGCACCACTTCTTTGTTGTCTATGTATTGCTAACTTTGATAAAGCATTACTTCACAATCACAGAAGGAAATGACACATCAAATCTTGGCAGGCACGATTTACTATTTCTGCCTGATTGGAAATGACATGTAATATGTACCGTCATTCATACTCTGGCTATTTGGTATTCCATTTTTTTGTCTTGAAAAAAAATGTAGCTTCTGGAATGCATAAGAAAAACTGTGGTGCTGTCAGCATCTGTAGAAATGTTTTTGTTTTTTTTTCAAATTAAAGGCTTAGTTCATCATTCCATTAAAACTCCCCATGCACTCAAGTGTCCCCAGTACATTAAAAATACACAGAGGGGAATTTGTCAATACTGGAGCAGACAAAATCTGGAGTAGTTGCCCATGCCAATCAATCAGCTACTCTCTTTAGTTCAGTTAAGATTTGAAAATGAAAGATAGAAGCCGATTGGTTGTCATGCACAGCTGCTCCAGATTTTGTCTGCTCAAGTTCTGATAAATTCCCCCCACAGTGCTTAGCTTTGACAAAAGAAGCTTATTTTCAATGTCATGCCTGTCAACAGTGCTGGCCTCTCGCAAGTCTGCCTGGGAAAACTAGCGTGAGAGGCCCTCCCCGTCCCGCCTAGAGTGTACTGCGGACACTTGAATGCAGGGATAATTTTATTCCTTTGTTTATTCCTAACAATGTTTATTACTGGATTATGTTTCAGAGGGTAAACTTTATTTTACATTAATTTTCTATTTACCCTTCCATTCATCCAATAATATTTTTGCAATGAAGAAGCATAATATTTTAAGAAAGTATTTCTTTGGAAAATGAGTGTGATGTTTAATTCCTTAAACACCTGACTTCCAAACGCTGCTTACTTTGGTCACAATGGTATTAGTTGGATAAATAAGAAAAAACTTTTATTTATCAAGGTCTAATTTTCAGGTACTGCTTGATTTAGGTACTAAAGTATTGGTTGGAGAAAAAAGTAAATGTGGATAATTTATGTTTTATGCTCACTGTTACCCTGTGTTGTACTATGTAGTAATCATTGTTCATCGAAACGCTCTCATAAAGCTGTGATGTCTTTTTCATATATTTCAGCTACATCAGCTAGAGTGTGAATTTAAAACAAAGAATTTGTCCAGCACTCTACTGACTGGAAAAGAAATCAAAGATGAAAGTTTAAAGAAGCACATTCATCCACATATCAGGTGATTTAATAGTAATTTAGAAACGCTGAATTATAACAGCCAGGCAAGGGTGGATCCTAATTATTAGTTATAATTCATTAAATGTTCGTTATTAAGCTGTGCATTGACAATGCATAACCTGCATGTTCAAAAACAGGTTTACAATTTATAGCCCCACCCCCTACATCAGGATGTGATTTAATGCATAGCGTAAACGTTTTGCTTCCTTTTACCAGATGATAAATGTGCAATGACAAATTAAAGGATACATTCTTAGGTTTTGTACCTCTAGTAGCAAAAGTTTGCTCACTTCTTCAGGCCTTGTTCACACCGAAAGCGTGTGCGTTCCAGAGCGGTAGCTGCTGGAACGCACTGCAATCGCTGAGAAACCTCCCCATGCGTTTTGGGGCAAGAGGGGGCGTGGCGGTGCATTGCATTCAATGGCACAGCTTAAACCCCCCCTCCCCTCTGCAGTGCGATCGGACGCCTGGCAAAACTTTGCCTCTGTTCCACCGCAAACGCAAAAAATAGGGCTTGCACACGCTTTCGGTGTGAACAAGCCCTAATAAACATAGAGAACCCTTATTTGTATGTATAATTTTAAAAGTAACTTAGGGGTTCTAGAACCTTAACCCCTTCATACTGAGCTTGTTTTTAGTTTCTGTTCGTTAATGATGCACTTTTTACATTTTTTGCTGTGTGATTCTTCCACGGCAGTAATATACTTAAGTGCACCCACACTATATATAGTATATATTGTTTTTTTAGAGGACAGATAGGCACATATATGTGATAAATACATAGCTCTAACGCCTCACAAATAAAATATAAAAAAAGAGAAACCGTAAAGAAAACACTTTTTTACCCAGTTTTGATTATAATGTTTTAGAAAAATAGCACAGCTAAAATGCATTATAAGAACATTGCTGTAAAGAGGGGGTTAAATTTAAAAAAAAACTTAGTGAAAAACACATCTGCAGCTCAGCTGCAGATGTTTTTACACTTTCCACAATTTTTTAATTGTTTACACTTATTTATTTTTAATTATGTCAAGCAGTCATTGCAAATGAATCTCACTATGACTGCATGATGATATAAAACATTTTTGTTTACTTTAGGCCACTCCAAACTTGTGAACAGCCAATAATAACCTTAGTGCCACTGATGCTGACAGCATGTCAGCATTTGTGTCGCTAAGGCTAGGTTCAGATCTGAGTGATCCCGGGACCCATTGATTTCAATGGGGTTACATCCGCACGGCAATCGCTACAAAAAAGGTACAAGTAAATTTATTTGCGACACAGCTTTTATTTACTTTTTTACCCGCGATCGTGTTCAACTGCACGAGCAGTATCGCGGCAGGGAAACAGCACAATCTGCCCATCTCGACTGGCGTGCCATTAGAAAATAATGGCACCGCCAACGCGATCAGCAGTTGTGGGTGATTCCGTGAGCTCGCGGCCATCCGCATGCTTTTGTGCACAATTGCCATGCTTTCACGGGTCACCCAGGTGTGAACCTAGCCTGAAGACTTCTGATCGTTCCAGAACCATCAGAAGCCTGCAACATTGTTTTAGAATAGAAACATGTAGCTAAATGTTTCTGTTCTGAAACTTTTAGAAAAAAGCCGGTACACAGCGGGATCTCCTAATCCAGTGGTGGCGAACCTATGGCACGCGTGCCAGGGAGGGCACGCGAGGCCGTTTCTGCTGGCACGTGAGCCAAGGTTCAGGCACCACAACATTAAGGCAGCCGAGCTGTCTAATGTCGGCAGGCGGGCGAGCGAGCAAGAGGAGAAGGGGGAAGGAGTGGCAGGGGGTGGAGACAGAGGGAGATGGGGGCGGAGATGAGAGGACGGGAGGAGACGGGCGACTGAGCTGCATGAGACAGGGGGCGGAGACAGAGTGAGATCGAGGCTGCGATGAAGAGAATTGCATTGTATCCAGCGACTGACAGGTCACGCAAAAAGTATTGAACAGGAAGGGGTGGGGTAAATTTAGTGGGGGTGGGGGCGCCCAAGTTTTGCCTTGCCTTGCCTAGGGCAGCCCCAATACACCACTGCGTTCAGGGACCACCAATTGCAATAGATCCGACTGACCCGGATCGCCTTGGTATGCGATCCGGGCCAGTCACAATTAGGCAGCGGCAGCCAATAAACAGGTAGGTTAGACGGCTGCTTCCTCCTCGCTAGGACCCCGGGAGGCCCCTGCAAGCGGCCGTCTAATCTGCCTGTTTAGAGGTCACCGCCGCTGCCTGATTGTGACGGGCCCGACTACAGAGGCGATCCGGGACGTTCGGGTCCCCCGTGAGAGCCGTACAAGGCCGTAAGGCATTGATGAGTGATGTTGAACTTTTCTTAAACCCAAGCGCCCAAACTGCAATACTAAACTTAGTTTCAGCGCTTGCACTTTGAGATAGATTGATTTTGCGTCGCAGTTTGGGCACTCGGGTTCAAAAAGGTTCGCCATCACTGTCCTAATCTGTACTAGCTGTCAAAACAGTGACAGCAAGTATGGTAAATATCGCTGTCGGGGACCGGATGTCTGTAAAAGCTTAACTCTTTCATTAATGGATGCCTCAATACTGAGGTATCCATTAATTAATGGTATCCACTGAGTATTAGCGGTTAACCGGCATTACAGATTCCCAAATTGCTGCTCACGTACAGTGTAGGTCTCCTGTTATGATGGGGTTAAAGGTGAGGTGAAATATTGTAGAAGGTATCCAAAAGGTTGATATGAAAGAACTGTCTAGAAAACTTTTGAAAGTGTATAATATGTATTATATACATGCAATGTAATGGGTAAGACATATGACATGACATTTTTAAAAATTAACTGCATGTTTGTTGCTTTTTCTCTAGTGTTCTTCTACAGAGAATTCAAAAATTGAAAGCAGTGATCAATAATCTTTCCAAAAAGCAGGCTTATCGCCCAAGTTGCCCCAGCTATGACACATTGTACCAAGATGTCCACAACTACCTCAATAGCATTGGCAAAATGTCTTCTATTCAGGACTTTGCTTCACGACTTCAAAAAATACTAAGCGGAAAGGGAACAAAGTCACGACAAAGTCTTAACAACCTGTTATCTGAGGAAGCAGCATGGCAGCGCTCACAACACCAATTTAGAAAGCGCCTTGCAGAAGACTATTCTTTTTATCCAGACATGGTAACTCCCCTTCAGGCTGCTATATTGCAAGTTCAGCATGGTATAAGGATAATGGCTTCAGAAATCTTTACCACAATGAACAGCACCCTCATTTCCCCACCGAAGATCACAATTCTACTTACCTGTCTTCTTGGTTTCCCTTCCGTATGCGATACCTTTCCAACACACTTCTCGCGCGCGGACAGTTTGTGTTCCGTTAGTTCCCTTGATATTCTAAAAAGCCTTAAAAAACTGTCTCAGAAATATCCATCCAAAGACCAGTCTACCCAAGGAAATGATTTAAGTACTTGCCTCACTAAAGAGCAGCTACTAGTGAATGGGCTGCTTTACCTGCTTTCCCATGTTCTTTGCCAAGGAGAAATGGATGAGGAATCCCTGAACCTATTCAGGCACATCAACCAGGTTAGTCATTTTATTACTTTAGGATCTACATTTGTTTTCACAGGCAAAATGGTTAACGTACTACAAAAGGCTTCTATGAGACAGTCTCAAACCTCATACATTAAACAAAAATCTTCCCTTTCCCCCCCCCCCCCCCCCCCCCTCGACCTAGTCAAATCTTCCAATTTGTGTCTCACACACTACCCCTTCCAGACACTGCAGCTTACAGTGGGAGTTTCTGATGTGAATCAATTTTGCAATCAATTATTTTTTTATTTTTTTTACATTTTTTTCGAAAAGGTTTAAGCAGCTTATTTGAAGCCTCCACATAAAAGGCAGATACAAACTACTTTATCTTTTGCGGTTATGCTTCAGACATATTCAGCTAACTGCGAAGGATAGTGATTTGTATCGCTTCTGCTGTTTTTCATGAATGCAATAAAAGATATTACACTACTTTTTAAATATGAGTTATATGTTCTGGTTACCTTTTAACTGTTTGGATTGTGACCCTGGATATGACAATAGTTGTAACCAATGCGGTGGCAAATCATTGAGATGGTGAATGATGTGCTTTTACTTTGAACTCAAAAATTTTGCCTAAACAGCACTTCCATAAACAAAATGCAAATCAGATAATATGCATATCTTTTTATTTTTGTTCAATCAGCTCCACCATCTCTTAAGTCACTACTGCCTCATTACATGGCTTTTTATCAGTTCTAAAAGGTATGGTGTTTTCTCCCCCCCCCCCTTTTCTTAGGCCATTATCAATGAGTGGGATGAGCAGGAGCAGAGAGCTAGAGACCGCGAGCAGGAAGAGAACAGCCTGTTTAAATACAAGACTAAGAGTCTTGGCTCTGGACTCACAGAAGATCAAGAAGATGACAATGAATTCCACCTACACTTTCCCACTTATGAACAGGTATGCACAATAGGTGTAGAGTGTCAATTTGTAATGAACAGGTATGCCTATTGTGTAGTGTCAATTTGTAACGAACAGGTATGCCTATTGTGTAGTGTCAATTTGTAACGAACAGGTATGCCTGTTGTGTAGTGCCAATTTGTAACGAACAGGTATGCCTGTTGTGTAGTGCCAATTTGTAACGAACAGGTATGCCTATCGTGTAGTGTCAATTTGTAACGAACAGGTATGCCTATCGTGTAGTGTCAATTTGTAACGAACAGGTATGCCTATCGTGTAGTGTCAATTTGTAATGAACAGGTATGCCTGTTGTGTAGTGTCAATTTGTAACGAACAGGTATGCCTATCGTGTAGTGTCAATTTGTAACGAACAGGTATGCCTATCGTGTAGTGTCAATTTGTAACGAACAGGTATGCCTATCGTGTAGTGTCAATTTGTAACGAACAGGTATGCCTATCGTGTAGTGTCAATTTGTAATGAACAGGTATGCCTGTTGTGTAGAGTTTAAATTTTTAACGATTTGTTAATTTAAAACAAAGTTCAGGAGAATCTGAAAACAGAAGAACATTGGCTGCTCTGTGTTTGGTGTTCGGCCTTGTTCACACCAAATGCAGAGCAGATCTGCATGAGTTTCTGCACACACAGTCCAGTGGGTTGTGCTGCGTTTTTTTGCCGCATTTTTGATGCGTTCCGCCCGTTTTTGGTAAAAAAAAATAATATTTTTTTAGTTTAAAATGGGCTTTAAGTGCGTTCCAGGTGTTTTTGATGCGTTTGCATGCGTTCCAGAGCAGATAAAATAGGGCCTGCTGCAGTGTTTTTACCTGCTCTGGAACTGAACGCTGTGATGTGAACTGGAGCTAAAAATACCATTGGAATACATTGGATGCAGTTTTGCTCCGGTCTGTAACTGCTCTGCACCTGCTCCACGCTTGCTGTGAACAAGGCCTAAGATGTAAAGTTTTTGTAGCAATAACGCATATATGCTACGTCCACATGTTATCAGCAGGTTTTTGTTAAATGCCTCGGATTGTGTATATTTTAATACCATTTTCTATTTATTCTAGGATTTTGCAGATATAACGGCACAGCCCAGTCTAGATGAACGTATGGAGACAGGGACCAGTGATGGTGAAGCAGAGGCAGATGATATACTAGTTTCTGAGAGTTCAGCACAGACTTTAATGCTTACCCACCAGCAGTTATGTTTGAGTACTGCCAGATCTCTGTGGTATCACCAGAACTCAGAGCAGCATTATGCCAAACATTACATCAGTTTGTTCCTGTCATGTTATCGGACAAGTGCTGTCCTTATTGAAAATCTGTATCCCCTAATTGGTAAGTTGTTTTTTTTTGTTTTTCTTAACTGTCATGACAATTGAGAATGTAACGGTATTATAAATGCTTTTCTAACCCAAAATGCAGAATTTAAAGGAGAACTATGAGTGTGCTTTTCACTCCTCATAGTTCTAGCTGACCTGTGACAATGAGACTGTCACAGGTCGGCTCAGTAGCTCGGGAGGTGAGCGAACACATACCGGGTTCGCTCACCTCTCGATCCTGTCACGGCTCTCTGCCATGGCAGGGGCAGGGGCTGGATTCCCCCCTCCCTGCTCCGATCCATCAGCACTCACTGGCGGAACGGACGAGGAGGGGGCGGGTACAGCTGGCTCTGCCTCTAGATAGGCAGAGCCAGCTGTCAGTCACGCAGCTGGGCGGATCCAGACATAATTGTTGGGATCCGCTTCAGCGTCTCAGTATACTGAGCCTAGGGTGACGGGAGGACGCTAGTTTGTGTCCTCCCGCTACCCTAAGGAGAACTATGGGGAAAAGCCTTAACCCCATAGTTCTCCTTTTAACAATGCACATTCAATATGATTCAAATGGTAATAATGTACAGTATATTGTATCTGTTAAATATGATGTAGATGGCATATCAGTCATTCTGCAGCCAATGATATTTAGGGAGTACATCATCAAGGCTGGAAATCTTTATCTACAAAACCAATTTTTTTTTAATATAAACAGTGTCTTGTTTGATATGTTGCATCGTTTCCTTGTCCTGGCAGAATATACATAATTGCCCAGTGTCAGACTTTAACATGCAGCTTTCCAGGTTGCTTGTTTTGTGACCTTGGTCATTGTAGCCTGCAATTAAAAAAAAAAGTTCTCTGTAAAAAATTAGTCTCTTTATTTTACTACTTTTTGTTTTTTTCTTTCAGCCAAATTAAAATAAATAGGCAAAATAATGGCGCATAACATGCACCTCCAACCATCTGCAGTTTAAGGCTGAAATCTACTGGCAGCCTGATTTGCACATAACCTAAGTTCCCATTAAAGGTTTATTTTTTGTCGCACTAACTCGTATATGCTACGTCCACATGTTCTTGGCAGTGCTCTTCATGGAAGGCCATTGCTCAGAACCCTACAATGGTGCATTGAGTGTACAACAAGTAAAATAACCAGTGATGACTTTGCTTTTTCACTAATTGCAAACCAAAACCTTCCCCTGTCTCCAAAATCGATAGGTCCTTTTCAACTAATTTCCCATGAATAGTTACTTAACTTTTTCATTTCTAGGCTCTGAAGTGAATGATCATCTTTTGGGAAGCCATTTGCTGGCCAGTACTCTTCTTCAGAACACAATGTCTGGAAACACTTCATCAGATATTATATTGCAGCAAGATGGGCCCTATGATTTCTATCAGCATCCTAATATCCAGCAGGTCAGGCAGTGCCACCATGTGCTTAATCGCTTCGTCATGGAGATAAAAAGGCTGCTGGAAGAATGGCCAGAACATCCTGCTTTGATTCAGGTGAGGACATCCTGCTGCCAAATGCTTCAACTCTTTTAATTTAATGTTTACCTTTATATATTAGATTAATTTATGTTTAAGTGCTAGAGCACCTTTTTCCCCATTGGAGGCCATAGTTCTTTTTTAAGTGTGTTTTATAAAAGTCATTCTGCTTTTCTAGATAGCCAAAATCCAGCTAGCCAAGTTCTGTAGATTTTCATAAAGTAAAAAATGTCAGCTGGGAATTTAAGGGCAATGAAAGGTTGTGTATAGAAGACTCAAATGCCATGTTGCAAATTTAACTTAACCAAAGATTGTTCATTGGAATCGGGGCTTGCATGTAAATGTCTTTCTAGGATATTTTCAACAAACATGATGATAATGCAAATTACCTTAGGGGGGATATAACTAAACTACATTGTAACCTCTTGAGCAGTAAATGCAACATCTTCTTCTGTATCTAGATATATATATATATATA